AGCATTCTGGAGGGATGGGTAATAGGAGTTCCCGAGAGAAGGCGAAAAAGGTCCCCGGAATGGTGCCTAGAGAGCCAGCCCCTTGGAGAAGTGTTTCAAAATTGGAAAATAATCCCAAAACTAGGAAAAGAACAGGGAAAAAAAAATGTTTAAATACTGTATACAGTAGAGAGCCACTACAGGGAAAATCGTTATTTTGACCAAAATAGGAGTCTGAAGAAAATTGGGCCTATCAGACTTCGTATTTATATGTAAACAGTAAGACTCCTTTTCTGAAACAGAAGTGGCTTAGGTCGCTTAATGAGTGCAAGAAGTAAAGAAATGTTCCTCGCGAGGAGTCCAAGTTCAAAGGAAATGGGAAAGAGAAGCAGAAAGATCATAAATGGGATCCCTTAGATAACTTCCCCCCCTTTAATTTCTAAAGCAGTGCAATTTCTAAAGCGGTGGTGACCTCTCCAGAGGAGGAGAGTGGGTGCTGCTGATCTGTGCAGGGTCCTGGAGAGAGGATGCGCTCTCAATTACTGAGGGAGTTGGAGTAATGCGAATGGGACCTGGAGAGTTTTCCTTTCTCTATTACTAACCTTACTAATACTTCACTTTGTCCTCCTAAGGCAGTCTTAGGTAAAAGGGAAATAGGGTATGGTAATGCCTGCTGTTTTTACTAGAAGAGAAGTTAGGAGTTGCAAGAAGAATTCCTTAACTGAGGATCCTATAAGTGTAGCAGAACAATTAGATCAATTTCTAGGCCTAATTTGTACTCATGGATGGAAATGATGTTTATCATTGATATGTTGATTATTGGAGAAGGAGGTTGGCAGCTATGCAAGTGTGGGAAATGAATACAGAGGGAAGGTTGAGCTCTGGAGGGAGGCAGAGAGAGGAAGGATCCTGAGGATAAATTGTACTGATTATTGTCACTGTCTGTGTGATTGTTAAATGTTTATGTCCTGAAAGTGTTGTGTTATGTTATGTCGTGTACGAGGCTGTTATGGAACAAGGGGTGTCTAAAGTGATATGGGAAGACCCCTTGGGTTGTATTTTGGCTCACTGGAGAAACATTGTTGGTGAGCCAGGGGGAATATTGAATAAGAAACCAGGAACGTAAATGGAGTAACGGGACCAGTTGTATAATTGAGTGCCCTAATCATGAGACCAAGTGCTGGGTGTTTGTGGAAGTTGAGGAATTGTGTTGTTTGATTTGTGGATTTTGAAGGCACTAGGAGAAACTATCTTAATGGTATGTGGAAATGCAATTGTTAATGGTATGTGGAAATTATGTGGAAATGCAGTTTTAACGGTATGTGGAAATGCAGTTGTTAACGGTATATGGAAATTATGTGGAAATGCAGCTTTTAATGGTATGCGGAAATGCAGTTTTTAATGGTATGTGGAATTGCAGTTGAGTGTACAAATAGTGGAATTGTGGAAAAACAAACCAACAAAAAAAAAAAAAAAAAAGGCAAAAAGGTTAAGGAAAACAGTGAGTTTGGGATATTAGAGTTGGGCCGGCATGAGAACACATCTCCGCACACCCCCCCACTGCGGCTTGTAAGAACAACTTGGAGTGGGAGAAAGAGCTGGGGCTGGAGCCTCCTGCTGTGATGTGAAGGGTGCAGTGCTTGTGAATGGGGATGGGACGGACATTGGAGTGAGAATAGCCGTCATCTGCAGAGCTGGGGAAACCCGATATCCAGTGTGAGCACTGGAAGCCTGGGGAGAGAAGGGAGTGAAACTGAAATATAATGTTAGTAATGTCTGCGATGATGAGAGTTTGGAAAGCGAAAAGGGTTTGGGAAAACAAACTGAGGAAGGCAAAGTTGAGCAAGGTTAACAGGGATGTCCTTACCTAGAAGAAGAGGTAGGGGGAGCCTGGAAGGGCTCAGGGAGAGTTCCACCCTGCCACGACTGAAAGCAGCAGGGGAAGCAGGCTGAAGAGGTTTATTTTCTGGTACCTCTGGGTGCGTCTTACTATTACCCGTAGATGACTTTTGTAATAGTTGTAGGAGCTACTGGCAAGAGAACTTTACTTTTTTTTTTTTAACCAATTAAGTAGAGGCTAGGAGAACAAGTAGGAATACATAAATTCTTGTACATGCCAGGTTCTCCAAAAAGATTATTTGGGCATGACATGTTAGAATAGTTGAATGTAGAGATCAAATTCAGTAGAGACGATTGGAACTACTTGTCAAGCAAGAGCAATGGACTGAAAATTTTAAGTCTGGCTTTAACACAAACTGGAAAAAGCAATGTTGTACTCCCAGAAGTTACGTAAATCCTACATTGGGTATACACAGGATTGCAGGCATCAGGGATGCCTGGCAGAGCCAAAAACGCAGCCCAATGAAAGTTAAGTTAAAGATGGGAGCCAGCCCAACCAGGGTAAAGCAATGCCCTTTGAGGATACAAGATTGTAGGAGGATAAAAGAAATAAAAATAATTTTTTTTTAATTTTGGATTACATAATACTAGAGTTAAGAAGGTCCATCGAACACAATGAGAACTGAAATCAGCTGGACCCTTAAAATTGTGAATCTAAGGACAGAAATGTGGGCTCTTGTAACTGTTAGAAATGTTGATTTGATGAGTGCAGCATTTGATGTAAATACTTATGTTTCTCTTGTGACAAACATTATTACATATCAATATTGTTTGGTATGCGGGCAAGCTAAGGATTTAAACTTTTCTCTTCTTGTTGTTCCTGATGATTTTAAGGCAAGAAATCAAACTGTTGCAGGGTTTGAGTCACTGTCCTGGTGGGTGATGATCAACAAGAATGTAGATTGGGTTAACTACATCTGTTATAATCAATGGAGATTTACAAATTATACAAAGAGTGCAATAAAGAGAATTGCAGAAATCAACAGTGTATAAAAAAAAAAAAAAGGGGGGGGAATTGTGAGAATCAAGTGTTGTTTCTGCATTAGAATTGTATAATATTATTTTTATTTCATGATCTCCGCTATCATAGTTCTTTTTGGGAGTCCCTCTACTTAACTTGGGGAAGATCTCTGGTAAGCTTACATCACTTATCGTATAGACGAACCTAACCTTCCCAGGAACGCACACTCTGTATATAGGTGTATATATGTATATTTTGCCACATACACTGCAAGAATATCCTGCATGAGAGCAAACCAGAGAACAAGCCATGGCATGCCCGAGGAAGCGTCTGAAGAGACACTGGGAAGGCCTGACATCATCTCCCAGTGCTCTCTGTTTAACGATGATGACTTTAAAGAAAATCACCATATCAATAGGACAAGGAGAGCACCGAGACATCTTGGAAACAACAGGATGACTGCTGACTGGCACCAGATCTGATAAGATTGTGAACCTGGAGTACCCAGCCATTGGGGAAACAGGGGAGGGGGGAGGCAAGGGGGAGAAAACAGGGTATAAAGGCTGTCATGTTGTGTCCATAGGCGCGCTCCTGCTTGTGGGACACCCGCCACTGCAATCGCGAATAAATTCTGCTTTTATCAGAGATACCGTCCTGACAAAATTACTTGGATTATTTCCAACAGGCTGCTACAGGGCTGCTCACGAAGGGCCCCAGGACCCCACATAACCGCTCTCATCCACCTCAACCCTGCAGGCCTGCCCCGCGCTGAGGCAGCACGCTGTTAGCGGCGGCCATCTGCACCACCACACCCTGCTGTCAGACCAGTGCTGACGCAACCCGCCCTGGGAGCGGCTCCTCCGGGCGCGACACCGGCTCGGGGCGGGGCCTGCGAAGCCGCGAAGCACTGCGCGGTCACTGCGAGGAGAGCCGAGCACGCCCGGAGCATGCCGGGAGTCAGGTCAAGAGGGGCCCGCTGCACGCCGGGAAGCAGCGCCATTGTCCCCAGGGCACAAAGCGGGGCAGCGGAGCAAGGATGCAGCCGCTGTTGACGGACGGCTCTTCCAGCCAATGGGCGCAGGTGTTCCCCGCAAGGGCGTGCAGGGAGGGGCCCCGCTCCAGGAGGTAGTGGCGGGAAATCCCGCTGACTGACAGCCGCCCCAGCCAATGGGGGCGCGCCGCCCTTCACAGCCCGCACACACCCCGGCGGCGGCGGGGCCGCTCCCCATCAGTGAGGGGCAGCGACCCTCTGGGGGTGACAGGTGGCCGTCCCAGCCAATCGCAGGCTGCTTAACTGTGCTGGCCCAACCCCGCCCAAGGAGGCAGCGCACGGCGCTGGGCGAGGGCCTAAGGCGGCGGCCAAGCCGGGTGGGGGGGGCGGCGGGCGGGGCGCGGCCGCCCCCGATGACAAAGGGATCGCGGTCGGCTGGCCCCCCCGCCCTTCCCGGCACCGAGACTCGCGATCGCTCACACTCACGTTGTCTATCACGACGGGCTGGTTCGCTATCACGTCGTAGGACTCCATGGCGAGGACCCGCCGCAGTCACCCGTCAGGGAGCTACAGCCCAACCGACGGCGGCGCATGTGCAAAAGAGCGGAGCGAAGCCAGCTGGGTAATGTATTCCTGCGGCCGCGGTGCGCGCTGGGAAGTGCAGTCCCGGGCCAGAGTCGGGGAGCGGGGCATGCCGGGAAGTGTAGTGCGGCGCAAACGTAAACACGGCGCAGGCGGAAGCGGCGTGACGTCAGTGCGTGGCGGCCCTGTGTCCTCCCGCCAGGAAGCGCGGCGTGCTGGGGGCGGGGCTTGGGCCTGGCTTCACCGTTTCTCATTTTACCAACGGGGATGGGTTCCACGGCAGTCCTTGCCCGCTTGTCAGCTTCACGTTTGTACGCGACTGCAGGACGCCCCGTGCAGCCCCGTGGCTCTGTCGGGCTCCCTCACAGCCCCGCACCCCTTCACGTCCCTCGCGGTTCCCCCGCGGCCCCTCTCCCCTTGAAGCACTGCCACTTCTCCACCGCAACGGGGCGCGCTCACAGCGCGGCGCGGAGGCGGGGGTAGAGAGGCGCGGCCGCCTTCCGCGCCGCGCTCTGCTATTGGCGGAGCCGCGCTGCTCATCACCGTCGCCCGGGCAGCGGGGCCCGCCCCCTTCCTCCCGCAGCGCCGCTTGGGCCGGGCCGGACCGGGAGAGGAGCGGGTCGGGAGCTGCCGCCGCCGGGCCATGGAAGGCACGCGGCCTGGCGGGGCTGCACCCGCAGGCGGGGCGGGCTCCGGCACGGGCTCCGGCTCCTTCCCGTCGCTCTTTCCGCCGGGCCTGCACGGGATCTACGGCGAGTGTCGCCGCCTGTACCCCGAGCAGCCCAACCCGCTGCAGGTCACCGCCATCCTCAAGTACTGGTGAGGCAGCCTGGGGCTGGCGGAGCGGCAGGGCCCGGGGCGTTGTGTGGGGTTGGGAGATCTTCGTGTGCAGATCTCAAGTCTCGCGTGGGGCTCGGGGGCCCTTGCGTGGGGCTGGTGGGGCCTTCCGAGGAGCCGGGGGCCTCGCGTGGGGCTGAAGGGAGCGGTGGGGCTTGAGGAGTGTTGGGGAAAACGGCGGAGTCGCGAGGAACCGTTGGGGCCGAGGGCCGTATGTGGAGTTGTGGGGAAGCGTTGGGCCAGGAGGGGTCACGGGCAAAGAGCATTGGAGCTGAGGGCTCCGTGTGGGGTTTCAGGGGGGTTGGGGGGAGTGGACGTTGCGTGGTGTCAGAGAGAGGCGCTGGGGCAGCAGAGGGTAGGAAGGTGAGGAGGCGGGGCGTTGGGTGCTGAATTTGGGAGGAGATGCGATAGGAAGATTTGTGCGGGCCTGGGGGTGTAATGGAATTGAGGGTGCGAGGGGCAGCGTGCTGGGTGCAGGGAGGGCTATGCTGGAGAGCTGAGATTCGGGGAAGGAACTGGAGGTGGAGGAGGTGTTTGTGGGGTGATGCGGCGCTTCTCTGAGTGGGGATGGAACGAGGTAGTGGGAGAACGGAGCGTGTTTCCTCATCTCGGCAGTTCATGGGGGGGATGGGGTTTTTTCTCCTGGGCAGAAGGCTCAAACTGTGTCTGCTGACCTGGAGCTCGAGGTGCGTGTATGGCCCAACGCGTGCTGTGTGTGCGCCTGCAAACCTGAGAAATAGATGCAGCTTCTCTTGGCTGTGCGTTGCCACGTGTTACCGCAGACTGAGAATCTGTTGTTTCTTCCCATCCCCGCTGACACAGTGTCTGACACAGTAACAGCAGTTGTTTATGTGAGAGAGTGGCATGAAGGAAGTACTTGGATGTTTAGCTAGATAAGTGTCTAGTATCTAGTCCTGTGGGAAGTTGTTCCTTTTGATTTTGTCCTCATTCTCTGCTCAGCCCTCTCCTGGATCAGAGGGGCACGATCAGGTGATCTGATGTCTGAGTGTCTGTCTGGTGAACCATTGACTGGTTGCCAGTCCAGCACTTTGAAAAAAGTTTAGTTAAAGCTCAACTTGTACACTTACAGTTCATTTTAACCCGTGTGTCTTATTTGGCTGAATCCTGAGCAGCAGAATAATATCCTCTCTGTGCTCTGCTCCGACAGCTGCATTGTTGCTGTTGTTTTTTGAAGATGTGCTTTTAATGAGCTTCAAGCAAGAAATATATATTGGTCCATGTTGCTTAGAGCATTTTTTAGTTAACCACTTGAACTGGCGGAGTGAGCTGAGGTGATTTGTTAGTCATCTGCATTGGTCAGTGCTGCAGCACTGCAGTGAGGGTCTGATCAGTTTTTTTACACCTGTTTCTACTCTGGGATGGGCGAGCTCAGTGAGTTTCCAACCACTGTGGTTTGAGAGTCAGTGCTTTTCTGTCACTGTCTTGGAGCAGTACTGGCCAGTGTGATGTCAGATTGGTGTGAGACAGAGAGATGGAGGTTTGTGATAGTGACCCAGCCTGTTTGTTCCTCTCCCTTGGCCAGCCCAGGGGGCAAAACCTGGAGTTTGATGTTCATGGAGCATGGGAAAAGGGCTTCTGCTGCAGCTTGATCTCCTTTGCCAGAGCTGCGAGATAAGGGCTGGTCTAGATGAAAAGAAACTGCTGAGCAAAGTTCTGTGCCTTGAGATAAATACTGTAACGCTAATCAGCTTTATAATTATAGCTATTGGTTTCTCTATTGTTAGCAGCAATTATTTCTGTTCAGGTAGCTGAAGCTGTGTTGTTGGCATGCACAGTAGATCCTTCCTTTGTACAGCTGGAGAACCTTCAGGATCACACACCCATGGAATGAGGGCGCTCAGCTGTGTGGGATTTTTCATAGAACTAGCCTTTTTTTTAACATGATTTCCAGATCTTTGGAGAAAATTCCTGATTGTCATTGAAACTTCTTGCACGAGCTCCTGGCTGTATGTATTTACCAGAAACGACCCCACGTAAAGCGTTCAGGGGAAATGAACTGGAATTTTATATTTTTTTATTTTTTCTCTTTTGGAGCTCTTTCCTCTGCCTGCTTTGGGTTTCTCCTGGACAAACACTTCAGCAACTTCTAACAGCATCCAGAGAAAGCTCTGTATGCAGATGCAAATACCACTTTTCCCCTGAGGCTGCCCTTCTTTCTCCTGAATGAGCACAATGAATGGAGAATGCAACAAATTTGTACCATACCTGCAGCTTTGAAGTTGGGTTCTCTTTAATAAATTCCTCCAACGCTTGCAGCTCTTTGTGTGAACCCGCATACTGATATGCAGATGTGAGATGAGGTGAAGCCCTGCAGGAGCACTGTGGGCGGCAGGGCAGGATGTACCTGGGCAGGAGTTGTTGGTGCAGCAGCAAAACCTGCCCCCAAATGGGGTAAGCTTGTGCCACAGCCCTTGTGGGGCTCTTCTGCCAGGGGTGAGATGCTGGCTGTGCTGTGAGGAGGGTGCTCCTGTGCTTGTATGTGTGCTGTGCCATGAAGGACAGTTTAAGGGTTTGCCCGATGTGTTGTCGGTGTCAGAACGTGTGTGTCAGCTCCCATCTGACTCATTTGACATGTGAGGTGTTTCTAAGCCCAATTTAGGAGCAGGTTTTGTGGGAGAGGGGAATGCTTGTTGCTTAGCAGGTGGGGACGTTTTCCCTTTGTTTGGGAATCCTGTGTGTCAGCTCTGAGGAGTTGCTCATGTTTTGCACTCTGTTGACTGCTGCTTTGAGCACTCTTGCTCTGAAGCCTTCCTTGCATGTAGCTTTGTTTGAGCACCTATGTGGGTCTCTCCTCAAGGGATCTGCATGCTTGTGTTGCTTGTTTCCCTCAGAAGAATGGGGCCATGTGCCTCTGCCCAGCTTGAGAACAAGATTTTAGAACCAGGCACGGGGGGGAAATCAACACTTGCAGTTTCCCAGGTAGGTTTCCTTGCAAGCACTGGGCTAGGAAGATGGCCTGGACCCCATTAGCACTTCATGAGGTGCAGGGGCTCTGAAATGTGTGTGAAGATGGACCCCATATGCCATGTTTCATGGGTACTGTGGCTGTGTCCAGGCTGGGATTCCTTTGGTCTTAGTCCCATTGCTCTGGGCAAAATGCTCACTGCTTCAACCCATGCTTCTCATGGCTGCATCACCGGCCAGTCCCAGGATGCCAGAGCTAGCCTGGTGTGACTTGCAAGGAAGGGAATTGTGAGGGGCTGTCGTGCTCTGTGCCCCTTCTGTCCAAAATCAGGAGACTTGCCATTAGCGCTTTGCTGTTTGATCACCTTAGAACTCCCTTGCAGGGCAGGGTGCCTGCGTCCAGATGAGGGCGGAAGCACTTCCAGGGTCCTGGAGCCTGCTGCTGTGACTATTTCTTCCCAAGCCTGCTGTTATTTGATATAAGGCAGTAGTACTTTAATCGTGGCAGCAAACTGAGGTGTTTGTATACTTTTCATGCAGTGGTTCTGGTGCGCAGAATGAAATGCAAACCTCCAGGGCAACAGAGGGAAGTTTAGGTATGCCTTGAAACCTGCAAATGGCAGCGCTGGGATCTGTGCAGGTGCTGCAGTTGAGGGTAATTAAGCCAACAGGTAGTTTGAATGAAAGTGGTGTTCTTAGTTTAGATTTTCTCATTTTGAGCAGATGGGAGTGTTTTACTCGAGGAGAATTGGGTACAGAAGGCAGTTTTGCTTCTCTCCTGTTCCATGGCTGCGGGGCACTGAGCTGGCATGGCCACCACGTCCCCATGTCCCTGGGTAGCAGGTGGCTGCCAGGCTCTGCTGGTGGCCGAGTCACCAGCCTTGTGCTGCAGCAGATCCTGCGCTCACCTTTTGCTCCTTGATTTACGCAGCTCACACATTATACAGGTGCTGGTACTGTCTCTACATCAGTGTTTTCTCTGCTCTTTAACTGCCGTGTCTGCGTTCAGAGCTATGGATTACTTTCTTCAGAACTTGGGTGTTTCAAATTGTGCTTTGAGGAGTAGCGTGTTGTTTCTCAGTGAGGAATGTACCTCTGGCCTGAATTAAGAGCTTTCAGTGTACATACAGCTATTGCTCTTTTACTGCTATAATTTTGTGATTGTTTTGAGGAGGTTTTGCTATGATTTTCCAGAGGCTTTCATGCTTTAATGTTAAAAACATTGTAGTATGTTGCACACATGCACTTTGCCTTCCTGTACTTGGAGCTTTCTGGACTTAACCCAACCTTTTTTTTCAAGAGTAATTTGACCATGCAAATCTTATTTTTGTCACTAGTTGTGATTTAAAGCAGGTCCCTTAGAGCACCTATGCAGACTTCTTTGTCTTGAATAAACTGATTTACCTAAGAATCTTTCTGATTTTAATGCAGGCTGGGGGGACCCGATCCTCTGGACTACGTTAGCATGTACAGAAACGTAGGAAACCCAGCGCTGAACGTTCCTGAGCACTGGCACTATGTCAGTTTTGGGTTAAGTGACTTGTATGGAGACAACAGAGTACACGAGTAAGTATTATCCGAGTTCTGTTGCTGTGCTGAGTTCTGTGTCACATTTGGGGAATGTAGGTAAAACCCTGGCCTGCTGTTTATATTATTTGAACAGCTGTTTTTCAGCTGAGAATACTGTAGGCCGTGGTAAGGGTGACGTGTGCCTGTTCTTGGATGTAGAAGAGTTACTGTGCTCCCCTCTCTGGACTTTGCATGCAATATATTTCCTTGTTAGTGTTAAAAAGTTGAGTGATTTCTGCATGTTTGTGTTGTTTCTTTTTTTTTTTTAATTCATAGGGAAGCTTTTTTTCCCCCTTAAACTGAAAGTCTTGTGTTTTCCACTCTTGGTAACCTGCTATGTTTATATGCTTAAATTCTGCTCCCTCCCTGTGCATGCTTAATGACTTACTCTGCAAAACTGCTGTCAGGGCATTTTTCCTATTGCTGGCACAGCAGTGTTACTGTCAGCAAGTGAACTGCCACCCCAGTGGCTACTCTATGAAGTGTGAGTCTGTCATGACAGAAGTATAATCAAGTCATTATCTTAACCTGTTAATATGAGCCGTCTTTATCAGGTGTTCTGTGTTAGATCAGGCAGTCAACATGATCTAACCTTACCCTTGTCTTTCTTTTGCTGACTTTGCTCCTTAACTCCAGTAAAGTGAGTGGTAGTCACCATGCTTTCGCAGTCTCGGGCCATAACTTTTAACCAGGCAGAAATGTCAGAAGGTTTATTCTGTTAATGTTTAGTTAAACTGTCTTGTGCTGTTTGGCAGTTGCAGGCTGAATATCCAATTTAAATGGTGCAACGAAAGTCCAGATTTGTTCATCCAAGCTTTTCCTCTTCTGCTCATTTTAGTTAAGTTTCAGCCAGCAGGTTGTGTTCTGTTTACCTGGGTGCTTCTATTGCAACATAAACAGTCAAGCAGTTCTTTAACCGTACCTATGTCCTCAAGGCAGTTTCTCCCGTTTGTGGATACAGGTCTGCTTTTCAGAAGTCAAGTCTTTTAAGACTGGAGTTCACACAGAAACCTTGTGTCACTGAGACCTTCGTGGGGCGTTTTAACCACAACATCTGGCAACAAACTGCATTCGTTACTTTCTGGGGCAGAGAAAGGGTAGAGCAAATGAAAGAAATGAAGTTAAAGGTTTCCTTCCCTTGCTTTCACAAGAATGTAGCCATGAACATGCAGGCTTTCATGTGATGCCTTTGTTCTCAAGCCGTGAGATTTCATCTTTACCACTGGAAATGTGAGGTTGCCAAGATTAGGCAACCTGTGTTTTCCAGCCTCATTTTACTGGAAGTTAATTTTGGAGGGCATAAGTGCTGTGCTGACTTCCTCTTTTCGGTGGCTTGTCAGCCTGAAGATTTCTCATGATGAGACTCTTCTCTTTGATCGGGCCGGGTTTGCAGAGAGAGCAGCAACAGGCCGTGGGAGTCTCTGCTGAAGGTATGAAGAGTGAGGAACGGCTTAATGTGTGTTTAGGAATGAGAAAGCAAGTTAGGTAAGGACATAGCCTCTTGTGGCACATGCTTTGGTTTCTCAGTCCCAGGCTGCTCTCTGCTAGACTATAGCCTGTTGTTCTGACGTGGAGGACTTGGGAGTGAAAGTGTTACACAGGTACGTAACAACCTTGAAAAACTTATAGGAATGAGGCCACCAAACTCTTCATGCTGTTGTATAACTTGGTCTGGAAATTCAGACTGAGATAATGGAAGATGCCTTGTGCTGGTTGCAGTGTCTGGGAATTTAAAAAAAACAAATATTCTGGACATGGGTGCTACACTCTGTGCCAGTGATGAGCTGGAGCTTTTCCCCCTGCTTTGGCAGGAGCCTGTCAAGCACAGAGCCACTGGTCACTGTCAGTGCTTTCTGTGCCCTGTGTACAACGAGTGCATTTCTGTTTTCTCTGTGGGCTGGAGCAAGGCGTCTCTGTGTCAGTTGTCCTGTGAGGTTCAGCTGGCTGCTGTTTGTCACCTTTAGTTTAGCCTCAATCTTGGAGCTAGGAAACTGGATGTTGCATGTGCTGTCAAGAAGATAGCCTCTGCCTTTGTTACAGATAATCTTACTGCACAATTATGGATGTGGTAAAGCTCTCGAAACCTACACATCTCTTGAATGCTGAGCCTGAAATTACCAGCTGGTGGGTGAGCACTGAGGGTGGATGAACAGAGCTCAGCACCCACCAGTAATTCTTGTTCCCAGCAGCAGTCTCTGCCACCTGCTCACAAAACACGACCGCTGCATGGACTGCATGCTTACAGGACTGTGGTGGTTTTTGTGTGTGCTCAAGAAGCTCTCCTTTTTCAGGAGGAAATGTACTGAAGCCCATATTTAAAACTGTGGGTAATGGTCTCTGTTGCTCAAAGGACTTTGGAGTTCTGCTGTCTCAGGTAAAAGCATCCTGCAGGATGGTTGGCAGCAGAGCAAGGTGACAAGCACATCATTTTAGTCTTCACAGGATTTCTTTGAAAGCTGATGGGACGCTGAGCTCTGTTCAGCTGCACCGGCCACTGGAGATAGCTGATGGTTTGTGGCTCTTTATTTGTTTTCCAACTCTCTGAAAGAATGCTGGACCTGCTTACGACAGACAGAAGGACTGTGGCAACAGAGGCACGTTTCCATAACCTCACTGCCTTTCATCCTTTAGAAGGGGACAGATAGTGCACTGCCAAGTGCCTCGTTCTTCTCCTGCTTGACTTTGGATAACACATGGCTTCTTTCTTGTGGACCTCTTCTGGCAATACAGGACAATCTAAACCAATTACAGTGAGTGTTAAATGAGAACGACTTTCTGATGATTATTTTGAGTGAACTGGGGCTGAGTTGGAGGCCCCTATATTTTTATTTATAATGAAATAGCAAACAGATGTAGCGTGTAACATGAAAATGTTGACTTTAATTTATATTTTTAATAAGAACCTGAAAAGTCTGAAGTGGAGCTCTCCTTGTGCCTCCTTGTTGACAGATTTATTTTCAGTTAAAACAGCACTATTTCCTGCTCTGCTTAAATGTCAGCTATGCTCTGCTTATAGAACTCTGGCCTGTTCTTAAGAGTCCGCTGAATAGCATGGAAGAAATCTACAAATTTCAAGTGGGGGAGCCTTTTTCATTTAAAAACACTCAGTGTTTCATGGTATAATGGCAACCATGACACCAGCTGTGCTGAGCTGATTGCTCTAAAAATCCTGAATCATGACATCATGACAGCACTGGGGAACTGCAGGCCTTACCGTGGGATTTCATGCCAAGCTGTCTGCATGGCAATAAGTCTCTCCATTCAAGCATGCTACACAAGTTGAGTGGCAGCAGAAATCCTTCTGGGATATTTCTGCAAGTTGTTTCTCTCTCTCTCTCTCTCTCTTTTTCTCTTTTTTTTTTTTTCTCCAAAGTTCTTCTATCTACTTTAAAATCAAAACTGGGATGTAAGTTCTTGAATCCATTCAGCAGGGTTAGAGTACAGCTTTTGCTTTTTCCTGACTGTTTTTGCTTTCTGAAAGAGATCCTTCACTGCAGTGACCAGTGAGTGGGTAAGGTGTGAAGTCACAGATTGGCTGGGTCCTGCTCCCTTTGCATCCTGTCTGGCAGCAACTGCCCTGCAGCAGAGCTAGCAGCAGGGGACCTGTCTCTGTGCATTGGGAACGTGGTGCTTCCCACAGCTTCCAATCCTGACAGTGACTTCTGGCTGTGTGGAGAACAGGCATCAGAGGAAATTGGCTTCAGTAATTGGAAGTGGATTCAGGCTCTATCGATGGCATCGCCAGCTTTGGCTGCTGTGGTGCCATGCCATGTGCTGGCAGAGGTTATCAGTGCATCCCAGGGAGCACAAAAGCTGTGTGTTTTTTCACCAGTCTGCCTTCTGTCTCTATTTTACAGGTCAAGGTTGAATCTCCAGTTAACTATTCCTGTAATTCCACAAGCACTCATTCTTCTTGTTAATGATTTTTAAAGTGCACGGAATGTTAGAATCGCGATGATATGATGACCGAAAAACCTCAAATAGCCTTATTTGTATTAAAATTGCAAGGTTGTAACTCAGAGCCACAACAGAAAGCAAAACTGAAATTGTGGCTAGGTTATGAGATAAGGTTTGTACTTGCAGCCTTCCCACATCCTGGGAAGAAACATGCCAGCTGTGATTTGATGTTCAGCCTTTTGTGTAAATCCCAATAATTGAGTTTCCTGATCTACACAAACTTCATATTGGCAGTGCGCTTTTTCTTTTTTTTTTCTTTCTGGCAGCTTGTTAGGAGGCTGAGTGCAGTGTTCCATTTGCATGAAGCCAGAAAGATTACAGCTGCCTTCATCTCTGATGCAGATGCGTGGTACCACCTGCCGAGACAACAGGTTCCAGCTTGCTGTGGCCCTTTTGATTTACGCTGCTTCCCGTTGGGATGGGGAAGGAGCGGTGCATGCCGGGGAGAGCGTGTTGTCTCTGTGGGTGGTGCCTCCCTATTAAAGGTAAGGGTAAGCATGAGCCTTTCATGATCTCCCATCCAGCTTGTGTTCTGCTGGCGTGTATAGATCCTCTGAATGACCTTAACTTGTAAAGGGGCAAGGATGCTTGTTAGAGCCGGGAGGAAGAAAAAGGAGTGCAAAACTGGATTGGGTAACAAATGCGAGGCTTGCAGAGGGGTGGATGTTTTCTGGAAGGCTTTTTCCAAGTATGAAAAGAGTTTGAAAAGAGTATTTAGAAAATAGCCTGAAAGTTGGAACGAGAGCTCTCTTTCTTTGAGTGCGTGCTGGCTTCTCTTTTGAGCCTGCATGAATATAGGATGGAGTGGTGCTGACAGCTGTCACTTTAGTGGCCTCTTAGTTCTGTAGCCTTTCATAAATCCAAAAGCTTACTGCCCCCAGCCTGCCAGCCTTTAGCCTTAAATTTTGGTATTTAATGGGCCCGTAAGTGCTTTATAAACCACGTGCCCAAAGCACCTCTGAAATATTACACCAAAGTCCGAGGTGACTGTGAACTTCTTAAAAATGGTGGAGATGACTCTGCCCTTCTTTGTTTTCATG